TTATTGTTTTGGGTGGTACATTTTGCATCTATAGTATGCCAAAATCTTTTAAAGTTATTTTTTTACAGGTTTTGATTTTTGGATCATATGAAAAAAAAGCCGTTATGCTGCCAAAATTTAGTTAGAATTTAAGAATTTTAACAAATGTAATTTATTTGACAAGTCAGTACGGAGACCTAAGAGCCGATGTTTGCCATAGACAATTGGGGGGACATGCATCGTCGCGGGGCTTCTTGGGTTAATCTCCAAGCGAAACAGACTTTTGTAAGTATTTTTATTTTTCATATTAAATTTTTTTATACTGAAATAATGGTTTTATAACACATATAAACAATTATAATGTCTTATTATGTAGAACACCCTGGAGGAGGAGAGACAAACGAAGAGAACACAGTCTACTTCAAGCTTGACTAGACTCGCCTTTGACGAGCATGGGATTTTGGAGCAAGTTCTTGGCATGCATAGAGGACATAAGATAGGAGTGGGTCCGACGCGCTCCCAAAAGTATTACTCCGGGGCTTCTCCTTCATCTGCTGGTTCATACTCAGACACAACATCATCGGCTCAAACTGACCCACGTATGAGTCGTTATTTAAAGAAATCGTACCAGGAACAAGTTAAGATTCATGAGAATTAGGTGAAGGTGTTAGAGTTGGTAGCTAAATTGCAGCCCAACATCCAATTACCTACGATTGATCGTCCATAACCAGTTGACCTAGACGCTCATCTGCCTCCTTCAGATGATGACAGTCCTGATGATGATTCAGATGTTGGCGATGCTACAAACTTAAACGATTAGTTCCGTTATATGTGCTATTTTATTTTTCACTTTATCTAGACTTTTATATATTTTTTGAACATTATATATGCACTTCATGTAGTATTCATAATATATTTTATAAATTTATTTAGATTTACTGTTTTTAATAATAATTTATATTTCACTTTTAATGTATCTTAATAAATTCTATTCAGTATGTAACATAATAATGTTTAATTAAAAATATTAAAAATTAATTAATTACCATTTTTTAAAAATTAAAAAAAAAAGTAATTTCGGTTTTTTACGATGACTTTTTTAGACTTGTCGTCGCAAAAAAAATAAGATTATTTGCGACGACAATTTGAAATGTTGTCGTAAAAAATGATCATGTCACGAGAATTTTGCAATGACGTATTAGCAACGCCTGTAGTCATAAATACATCCCGTTGTCGTAAATACATTTGCGACGACACTATGTCATCGCAAAAAACGTTTTTGCGATGACAAATTTGCGACGACACATCGTCGCAAAAAACATTATTTCTGACGACATGCGGGTTTTTATGACGACAAAAAGTCGTCGCAAAAATCCTTTTTTCTTGTACAATTCTTAAAGTTCACATAAAGCTAAAGGTGATATTGGGTAATATGTTCCATTAAGTTTTAAAGTAACTTCATGAAACCTACTTAAAAATTGATAAAAAACTTCGGCAATTTGTCAATCATATGCGTCTATATGTCATACTCCTAATTTTGCACACATATAGTTTGTTACAGCATCTTTATAGGGGATTTATTGTTGAAGCATTATATAAGTTGAGTTCTATCTTACAGGCATATCTAAACCAATTTTCTTGTCTTTGGTTACTACCTTGAATCCATGCAAGACTATCTCTAATTCTTTTAATGTGAGTACCCATTTCTTTTAAACCGGATTTAACTATTAAATTAATTTCATGCAATGCACAACGTTGGTGGAAAATAATACCGTCACCGTATAAACTTAAATCATTTTCAAAAAACTAAATTGCTTTTGTATTGGCACTAGCATTATCTAATGTTATAGCTATTACTTTATCTCTTAATCTAAATTTATTAATTACATTTAAAATTGTATTATATATTAAATCCGCGCTATGTGATCCTAGAACACATTTAAAACCTAATATTCTCTTATCTAAATTGAATCCTTTAAAGTAATGTCTGGTTAAAGCTAAATAATCTTTATTGGCAACAGCATACCAAATATCTGTCGTTAACGCAACACATCCACTAGTCGAATGTAAAAGGTTTATTAATGCTTCTTTTTCTTTTTTAAATAATTTTAATAAATCTTTTCTAAGAGTAGTTTTTGAAGTGAACTGTGCATTAGGATTATGTACAACCTTAATATATCGTTGCCAATTAAGATGCTCTACAAAATTAAGTGGTTGATCTAATGCAGCTATCATTCGCACAACTTTCATACGATCTACTTACGGATCGTATTTCTAAGTGGTTAGACTACCGGTTGTGCGATTAAAAGATAATTGTGCTTGGCGGAGTTCGGATCCGCCGGACTGGCTAAGCTTTTGATCTTTGAAGACACTTTTCAGAGTGTCTTCTTAAGTGTGTGATGTGATAGTTTTTAGAAAAATTGTAAGAGAGATTTGAGAGATTGAGAGAAATTGAGAGGGATTGAAAGAGTTTGAGTGAGGAAAATGTGTGGAGGATGGGGGGTATTTATAGGGAAATTTTTAGGTTAAAAAATTGATTTTCCACCAAATTCGGATCAAACGGCTAGTTTTGTTTTCGGCGGGTCGGGTTCTGGTGAGTTCGGGCAGAAAATATGGTAATAGTTAAAAAACTAGCCGTTGGGGTCGGGCTTTTTAGGCTTCGGGTCGGGTCGAGCTCCAACGGTAAAAAATTTATCCGTTGGTCGAGTTTTCAGGCTTCGGGCAGTTCGGTCTTGACCGAAAAAATTAAAAAAAAATCCGGAAGACGGCGGTTGACGGTGATAACACAGCGGCGTGCTCCGGCGAGGTGTCCATTTTCGGGCTGCTTGAGCCTGAGCCTGAAAATTTTAGTTAGACGGGCCGGCAGTTGGGCCTGCTCGCCGAGCCTGAAAAATTCAGGCCTCAGGCCGGCCCAAAGTTTCAACACTGGTCATAACAGTATGGGTCATTGTCTATGAGTCAAATTATAACAGTATGAGTCAAAATGACATGTCATAGTCCGGTCATAGTATTATAACTGACCATAAGGCAGTCATAGTGATATGACTGTCTAGTCATAATATTATGACTGAAATGATCCATAGTGTTATGACTGATATACTATGACTGCCTTATGACCGGCCAGTTCTAATGACTCGATGATGACTAGGAGTAATTGCATGTTGATTAACAGTTATTATTTTTAAAATTATTTAGGAATGGCTGCTGATTAAATGTCTTCATCAAGTACAATAGACATAAGGACCGTGCTTCGAGATACGTCAGTTGTGAAATGAAAGGGATATTGGTCCCCACTAACACAACTTATATTGGTCTTATAGATTTGGTGAGAAATGTACTTGGGATTCGATCACAAGAAAAAGTTTATCCTTAAGATATGTTGTCGAAGACGGGGAAGCTTCTGTGAAGCTATTGTCTGACTATAATGTCACATTCTATCAACGACATCTCTTCCCCTAAAACCTTTCTTTTCTTCTAAGATGACAAAAAATGGTAAAAAAACAATAAATACAAAAAAAAAAAACAAGGAAAGCAAACAAAGTTGTTAACCAAAGTACTATGACTGACACACTAAGAATCTGACCATTGGGCAGTCGTAGTACTATGACCGACGATCATAATTCTATGACCGACGGTCATAATTCTATGCCCGCCGATCATGCAGGCTTGCTCATACTGTTATGATTGATGGCCGGTAATAAGACAGTCACATAGTGCGGTCACAGTACTCTGACTGACGGTCATAATGCTATGACTGCAGGCTCATTAGTCAGGCAATCACACTATGAGGCTACATGCCTCATGGCCGGTCATAGGATTATGACCATCGGTCATAGTACTATGACCGCATGCTGTGCCTGTCTTATGACCGGTCATGTTACAATTACCGACCGGTCATAATGATATGACTGTCCATCAGGCAGAGTCATAGACCAAATAAGGAGCACAATGACAATAAAAAATTTTAAATAACTGACATTATTTACTTTTATCTCCTCCTCTAAAGCCTTTCTTTTCTTCTAAGATGACAAAAAATGGTAAAAGAAAAAAAAACAATAAATAATACCTAAGAAAAAACAAATAAACAAGAAAAGCCAACATAGTTTTCACCTTTGTCTCAGAATCTGCCATTGACTTCATCTATTTCGTGGTTGATTTCTCCAAGAAAAAGGGTGAGATTTTCTCGGTTCATTCTTCTCTGACGAAGAGGTTTAGGCGTTGATTTCTTCGGCGAAGGTTCGTCGGTTCTCGTCGCGTGATTGCGTGGGTTCTCACTGTCGTGGGTTCGTCGGTGCTCAAGGTGGTAAATGATGGTGGTCGTTGGGGTTTCTTAGTCTCTGCACACCTGCATTCTTTCTCATCCTCCTCTCTCTACTTTGAATATTTAAATTATAAAAAGTTTCAAAATATATTCATCGCTTCAAAAATGAAATGGGGTACAATTGTCATTTTAACTCAAGTAAAAACGATCTGGTCCCACTTTTGCTAACATGGCGATGTTAATTGTGAAAGTATCCAAAAATGATGCTAAAATTAATAATAATTTATTCCGAAGTGTTATTATTGAAATTAATTTTAAAAAATATAGTGTTACAAAGCAATTGTCACTTTCAAAAGTAATATGAAGCCTAATTCTCCCGACAATCCATATATTCTTTCAAAAGAAAATTACATATACAATCATTTTTTTTCTATAATTACATTTATGCAACTTAAATAGAAGTTTGTGCTATTTAAAATTATTTTGATTCAATAGAAGATTCTTTTTAGTGTCACTTTTGTGATTTAAATGTCAGTGCTATTTTGAGTAATATTTTTGAGAAAAGAGATTAGAGTGCTGAATCTTGATTTTTATTTATGATTTTTTATTAATATTTTTTTAATTAAATAAATATATTAATTAAAACAATATTAATTAAAAATAAAAATAAAAATTTAGATCCGTACGCTCCAAAAAAAGAAATTTCTCTATTTCTATTTTTGGTTTTCTCCCTATCTCCAGTTTTCGCTTAGCAGACCGAGCATAATTCCGGCCCAAGAAAGGCCCAATCCAGAAACCCGAAAGGCTCCATAGTCGCAACCATCTCCCCAACTGAAGTCGATCTCCCTGACGAAGACGACGACGACGTCGGTAGCAGCGGCTGGCAGTTTCCCAAAACCATGGCTTCGGCATCCGCTGTGAAAGAGCTTCAGCGAGATTTGGAGAACAAAGCAAACGATCTAAGCAAACTCCAAAAAGGCAAGCCACTTCCTTCGTATTCTTAAACCTAACCAATTTCTTTTTCATGCATTTCTTCAAACACATGGACGTCATTTCATGGCACCAATACAATTCCCTCACATGGTGTTTCTGTACGGCATACCAGATATCGCCAAGAATCACCAAGTCAGAAAGAAGTACACCATTCAGCTCGGCGAGAACGAGCTCGTCCTCAAGGTCCGTCCGTTTACTTTTCTGATATTTTTCCCCCTTGGCTTTCTGTTTGGTTTCCGGGAAAATGGATCGATAGTGAGAGAAAATTTGGAAGAAAGAGATAAACTTAGAGCTCTAATCAAGTAAATACTGTTTGGATTTTCAGTTTTGAATGTTCTATGTTTTGATTGAGGCTTTTTTTCTGATTGATTATTTTTTATGAAAGAAAATTTAGGATTAAAGCTGTAAACTTAGTGCTCGAATCAATTAAACACTGTTTCGATTTTGAAAGTGCTTCATCATCGCAGTTCAGTGTCAATTGCTGAGGCTGAAGAATAAGATAATTGAACTTTTTTATGCGATTGATTGATTGATTTTTTTTTTTTTTTTTTTATGAATTTAGGAGTTGGATCTGTTGAAGGAGGATGCAAATGTGTATAAATTGATTGGTCCAGTTCTTGTGAAACAAGATTTGGCGGAGGCGAATGCAAATGTGCGCAAGAGAATTGAGTACATCTCTGCTGAATTGTATGCTTCTGTTTCTCTTTATTGTTACATAGATTATCTTAGAAGTTTTTACTTTTGCTTGATCTTTGAAAATTTAAAGTTACGAAACTGTAATGAAGATAGCTAAGTTGTGTTATGGTGGATACTTTTAGTTAAACTGCTGAATTGTATGCTTCTGTTTCTCTTTATTGTTACATAGATTATCTTAGAAGTTTTTACTTTTGCTTGATCTTTGAAAATTTGAAGTTACGAAACTGTAATGAAGATAGCTAAGTTGTGTTATGGTGGATACTTTTAGTTAAAGCTTTTGCTACAGAACGAATTTGTAGAATCTCCGTAATTTGTCTATTATGGCAAACCGTTGAGAGTTGCATTTTGTGGTTACATTTGTTAGTTTTTTATAAGGACTGAAAATTTATGCAACACATAAAAGTTGCATCAGAACTACGAAGGACTCTGTTATGAAACAACAAGAAAACCATGTATGGCCTGATCATTAGTATCATCTTTTTGGTTCTTCTTGTTGTTTCTCCATTTTATTGACAAGTAATATACGTGTTTCTGTAAAATAGGAAGCGGCTTGATGCAGCTCTTCAAGATTTAGAAGAGAAGCAAAATAGCAAGAAAGAGGCGGTTCGTATTCTATTCTCTCTCTTTGCTTCATTTTAGATGCTATTGTTTTTAGATGGAATCTGATTTGAGGCTGTTTATGTCTTCTCTTTGCATTCATCATAGCTGTTGTTAACATGTTGGTTATTATTTTTGCATCATTTTAGATGCTATTGTTTATAGATGGAATCTCATTTGAGGCTGTTTTTGTCTTCTCTTTGCATTCATCGTAGCTGCTGTTAACATGTTGGTTATTATTTTTTGCTTCTCTTGAAGTTTAATTTCTACAGATTGAAAGAGAACATATCTAGGTACCCTGTACATGTAGACTTCTAGTTCTCCTTAGCTTGATAGGACATGGACTTTATACCGAATGTTTAAACTTAAATCAAACCTGCAAAAGGCAGCAAAGTAAATCCCAATTACATAAGAATCAAGTGATGATGAACAAGCCACAACTTGAACAAACGTTAAGCAAAACTGGATTATTGATTCTTGGGAGTCTAAAAACTAAATGAGTGGCTTCCTACCGGTAAGAGAATTTGAAAGGAGGAACCCCCTCCTCCCCCTCCTCCTCCTACCTATCTCTTATGTTCTTTGTTTTTCATTGTTTTCTCTTGACAGTTACATTTTCCCAGATTTTACTTAAAGTAGTTGCTTAGCTTCAGCTTTTAATTTGACAACATATCATATTGATACAACAGTTTGCGTTCCCCTTAAGGATGTTCAATCTATTAAGTGGAATTTTTTAGAATTCAGTAATCTTCTTGTTTACCAATTCTTGGACTGGAGTGGCGTGCCTTTTTTGCGACTTGCTGTATATGAAAAAGGAATAGGCCGTTAAAGTGGCTAAAGCCTTAAATGCATGAATATTGAGTAGATGCTCAATTGCTTATTCCTATGTTGTCTTGTAAATGGCAAACACTAGGTCAGGCCTGTGTTAAATTTTAGTCTATCACTTGGTGGGGAGCGTGTATTGATTTATTTTTGGTAGATAATTTCAACTAAAGCTAATGCTTATAGGATCTCCAATTTATGTTTATACATTTGGGCCACGAACATAGCTAGACGTGCTTGTTTTCGAAAAAAAATTTTACCCTCGAATTCCCTGTTTTTCCCTTTTTTTTTTTTTTTTTTTTTTTTTTTTTTTTTTTCCTGTAATACATTGGGAGATTACCTCAGTAATAGTGCCGACATAAAAATTAATCAGAAATGTCAAACAATTATGATTTAGTGTGTTTTCTGAATTAGAAAAAGTGTTTGCCTAAGACCGTTTGGTCTAGTGACACTAGGTGGGCGGGGCTGGGGGGTGGTGGTTTGAGTGGGATGGGGTTTGGGGGGAGGTTGTCGGTCCGATCTGTGTTGTATAAAAAAAAAAGTGTTTTGTTTTCTTATGTTGCTTCTCACAAAAACTGTTTCCTAAAACTGAAGAGTACCAATGGTGAATATGTTTTTTGGTTTGTTTTTAATAAGATCCACACGTTTTTATGTGCGTTTGGATGTAGTGGGGGAATGGTAATAGTAATGGGAATGAGAATGGTAATGGTAATGGAATGGAAAAGAAAATTGATTCATTTATTTGGTTGTAATTTTAGGAATACTATAGAATGGAAAATGAATATTTTTATATTGACAAAATTACCCTTATATTATATATAACATTAATATTTTATATATTAATATAATTAATATAATATATAAAAAGTAATATAATATAATAAAATTATTATTAATATTATTAAAATGGTTAATATAATTATAATATTATAAAACGGATTATAATATTATGTAAGAAACAATAATATTTTATAATATAATTAAAAATTACAACAATATTATATTATAGTATACATATAATTATAATATAATATATAATTATTATATTATATATATTAAATATATTATAATTAATACATTATGTGGTGGTCGTGTGTAATATACTATAATAAATAATAATATTAGAATTAAAAGATGATATTAATATTTAAGTTTATTAATTATTACATTATTATTATTATTATAATGAACATAATTATATTAATATTATATAATATAATTATAATACAATATTATGCAATAAAATAATTATATTAGAATTATTTGTATAATTGTGATATTATTTGTTAAAATATTACAACTATGTTATATTATATCATATTATTGTATTATTATATTATATTATATTGTAATATTATTATATATTATATTATAAGATATAATTACGTTTATATTATAATTTATAACTATATTATAAATTAATTATTATATTATTATAACTATATTATATTATAATATTTTTAGTGTATATTATATTACATTACATATTATAAGATATAACTACTATATAATATATTTTAATCATATTATAATATTGAAGGGTAATTATGGAAAAAAAAAAAAACTTGGAATGACTATTCCTGTCATGTGAGGAAGGAATGATGATTTACCCAAAATGAGTGAATGACTATTCCTTTTAAATGACTATGTCTTTCTTATAAATCCAACTAAACATCAAATTTGAATTCCATTCCATTCCATTCTATTACTTTCCTTTCCACCCAACCAAACACACCCAATGTTAAGGAAGGAGAATGATTCTCATTTGTAAAAATTTTTGAACTCAACAGTCAAAATCAAGGCTGTGACGCCCGAAGATAATATCAGTGTCTTAAACTTTTGTGCTAACACGAAAAGGTTACTTGCTCTTGGTTCTTGGCTAATTCACTTAACTAGGTTATTGTATAGAACCCTCAAAGTTTACCAGGTCTAGAAAAGAGAAAGTGTGTGTAAGTTTGCTTCTCCCGGTGGTTGGCCGAAGAACTTCTTCCCACTTGTTTCCACGTTCTGATTCTGCTTTTATTGTTTTAGTCCTATAGGTTAACCTTTTTATATTTATACTAGTCAACATTTTGCATAATATCGTCGATGAATTAACGCTCTATTGTTGGTCGTTGCATCATGTATGTACGCTATTAATTCCTTCCTCGTCTATGTTATCCTGCAGATCCTGAAGGTTCAGCCGAGGATTCAATCTCTTCAGGCTGGAAAAGCCAAGGATTAAGGATTAAGGCATAAGACTTGAATGGAGCAGTATCATCTCTGTCTCTCTCTCCCCTTTTTTTTGTTTTTTGTTTTTTTTTTTGGGGATAATTATAGCTGTAATGCCCGTACAAAGTACAAACCTTTATTGTGATTTTTAGTATTGTGGTGAAATCTAAATGGCGAATTCATAAATGTCTGGAATTTGAATTTTCTTTGTTGATTACTTGATGGTGCTGGCATTTGAAGCGAATTGAAATAGTATATATATTAGGCTCCACGCACTCGCAAATTATGACGACCATAATATAATCTTATCGCTTAAGTTTCATATTATCTTAAAAATGGAGCTTAAGCAATAAGATAATATTAGATAATGAAGCTTAACTGATAAGATAAAATTATGGTCGTTATAATTTGCAAGTTTCATTTTCTAAGAACGAAAGAAAACAAGAGAGAGAAAAGAGACAAAGAAATTTTTTTTTTTTTAAGCGATGAAAAGGATTTTGCGAAGTTATGACAGTCTTGGAAGATTATTCACATCCGCCTTAATCAGCTGCTACATAATTGACAGTGCTCATTGCTAAAATAAAGAACATGAAAGGTATTGTACTACGGAGTGAAAGAAAGAAACGAGATGACTGTGGAATAAAGCGAAAATAGGGAAATGTAATCAAGAGAAAGAAGTAGTTGTTGTTGTTGTTGTTATTATTATTAATATTATTATTGTTACTAGTACTATATTATCATTATTATTATTATTATTTTAAAGAGACGGCAAAAAAAAAAAAAAAGGAGCAATGGAGAAGAAAGGAAAAGTTAAAACCAAGTAATAATTTCTTAACTCAGTGAGCCTGTGTCCATTGTTTTGAATCCTTTGGCGTTATTGCGGTCAAAAGTTATGGTGGTGTTTGCTACATCATCTCCAATTAAACTGATCATGTCATTTTCAATTTCAATACACTCTCTGTAGTATTGAAGGTTTTTTTTTTTTTTTTTTTTTTTTTTTTTTTTTTTTTTTGAGTTGCTTTGATTGCGTCACTCGCTATGGTGAAATGACCAGAACCATCTTGGGCCAGTATTGCATTGAAATTCGTAGTAAGTGTAGGTGAACCCATATTCACTAAAAACTAATTATTATTATTTGCTGACACTACCGTAATTTCAAATATTTGTACCAAAGATTTAAATAAGAGACTTGAGTTCCCTAAGTTACATATTTATAGAGCAAGACTTTCTAAGTACGAATATAAATATTGGTTATATTAATGTTAGTACGTGGATTAATTGATAACTTTTGATAAAACTTGTATATATTTAAAGGGCCAACTATTAATTCCTGTAATTATTCGTAAAGTTTTATACTCTTGATTATATGGTGTTCATCACTTGTTGCATGCAGTTTACAGGGCTTTCCATATATGTTTAGATAGCGCATTTGATGTTGACAAGCTAATTAAATGAATAATGAATTTCAGTCCAACTGGATAATTTTGATGAGTAGGTTGTAATAACTTGCCAAATATATGGTACTTATATGGATGTATATTTTTGTTGTTGTATTAATTACTATAAGGTGCCAACTTTCCACTTTCTAAATCTGTGTTGATTTTGATCGGTTTATCGTATAATGTAGTGTTATGGAAACTTGTTCAGAGGAGAAAATTTTATTGCAAATGTAATGAAACATCTTTACATGAAAAAAAAAAAAAAATTTATTAGTCGAAACTTTTATAGAATAAATTTATTTACTTCAAATAGTTTTAAAATATATTATTTATTTAATTTAGTTTTATAAATTTAATATTTACTATATTCTCCCAAAAACAAATTGTGCATAATGATGACTTATGATTTCTAGGTGGCCGTACAAGCCCATTTATACCCTTCTATCATAAAATCGTCTATATGATACATACAAATGAAAAAATATTGTAAAACTCCTAGCTAGTTATCCTTATTTCGGTTAATTTTGGAGGTTAACCAAATCTTTAGTTTGAATTTGAATAGTAGTGGAAGCTTCTACAGAATATTCCAGTAAATTTTAGGGATTTAATGACTTGTTAGTTTGGTTGTTTGATCTCAATCCAACCCTGCCTCTTAATTCGGACGCAGACCTTGGGTTGTGTTTAGTTGGAGTAAAGGAATAAAAAGGAAAAGAATGGAGCTTTATTATGATGGTTGGTTGGCTTTTGAAAAAAAAATAGTCCTTTAAAATGGAATAACTTTTCTATAAAGTGGGTGAATCACCATTTCTTGGGAAGAATAGCCATAGCCATTCCAAGCTCATTTTCTATTTTTTTTTCATAATTACCCTTAAATGTTATAATTGTTAATATTATAATTATATTCATAATTACAATGTAATTAATATAATAATATAATATATTATATATTAAATTGTAATTATATCTTATAATAAATAATTTAATATATATTAATATTGTAATAGGATATAGTTATAATAATATAATAATATAATATAATGTAACACGCACGGAGGAAGTGCATGGTTGGTGGGGGCTTAAGCGCCTACTCAAATTATATATTTTTTAAAAATCTTAGATATATGTATATATATAATATATTTGATTGTGTATCAAACTATATTGATATAATTTAGCCCCCACTAAAATTAATCTTACAGCTCTCAATATAAAATTAATGTTATTAGCCCCCACAGACATAAATTTCTAGCTCCGTCGTTATAATGTAATGGAGTTGTAATATTACAATTAATAATATCATAATTATAATAATATTATTTTAATAAAATATTATATTTTATATTATATTTTATTATTAT